AACAATTTGTAATTTGGTGTTAAACTTGCTCTATATCATGAAAATTCTTTACTAATTTCTATTTGTGGGCAGGCAATTAATGAGGAAGATATAGCTGCTGGAACATACACAATTGATGATATAGTCCTCCCTTTACCTGGGTAATGTTTTACTAGAGATAGTAGATGTTTTATTTTTTAACCTTTTCTTCCTAATTGAAATGTTTGGACCATCTTACTGGAACAGTCAGGCCATGTCACATTGTCTTTGTTAATGCTAACTGTTTTTTCAGGTCAAGGATAACTTATCCATTGAATGACATTGGAAAATTCTATCATGATTTGGCCGAAAAGGTGGAGCTCTTATCTACTTGTCAAGCTTTATTCTATTTTGGTCTTCTGGTTCATATGTGTAGTTTATATGAAATATGACAATGCTTGAAAATGTGTTGGGGCCTAAAAACATACACAGCCATGATAGGTATAGTAGATGAAAATGGCATGCAAGCTGACGAGTAATGATTTTTTTTTTAATACTTTGTAATTATATATTTTTGGAATCCTGCTTTGACAAATTGAATTCTTACGTTCTACCCATCTTTCCTGTTAAAGTACTTGACACATTTTTTTTCCCACCTTCCAGGATGGTGTAAGCTTGACAAACAGCATACATAAATCCAAGTGAGTGAGTTACATTATCCTCAAAAGTTTGTATTTATCTAGAAGCGTATGCTGGTCTGCTGGTAAGCTTATTGGAAGTATTATTTAGGGATGAAAAAGTACAAATCTAAAACCACTTCTATGGGGTAAAAGATAAAGAGGTAAATGAACCAAAACTTAAACCTAATCAAATATAATTGTGTTCGTTCAAAACACCAAGTCATTGTTCAGATTCGATTAATAAGAAAAAAAATGTTCAAGTCTTTTAAGTTATGTAATAGTTTGCTTATACTTATGGATTATGTTAGTAAAACAACTCATACCGTCCCACATCAACTTCATCTTGCCAATGTTTTCCAATATCATAATCTTCTGAAGTGAATGTTTTTCACCTTTACATTATGCGACTGCTTCCTGCGTTTTTGTATTCTCTATGGGTGCGTTTAGATAAAATTATAATATATGTATTATTTTAATAGATTATATAATCATATGATAAAATAATTCAATGTTTATTTTAATTAATTATTGTATAAGATTATTAATTTTGCCTAAAATATTCTTAATTATATGATAAAATTAATAGTAAGTTAAGTATTAATAAAAGATAAAATAGTAGTTTTAATATTAATAATACATTAGTATTATTTAACACCACTTATAAGAGAAGGATTAATAATTATTTAAATATAGAATTATTATATCAGACTTTATTTTATCCTGGGTTATAATATTGCATAGTAAACAAATTATTTGGTCCTATAAATAATATTATCCATTCTAATCATCTAAAGTAAACACACCCTATTGGAAAGCATGACTTCAGCCACTGACTGTATTGCTGTTTGTAGGGATTTCTCATTAGCCAGTATGACTGGAGCATACAGGCGGGTGTTTCAGAAGCCTAAGGACTTTGAGTGGTGTGCTTTGCTCTTATGTTTTCTCTTACTATTTGCTTTACTAAACTTTGGTTGTTCTAAATTTGGAAAACTTGTTTCACTTCCTCTTTAGGGAATTACTTAGCTACACAGATTCGAACAAGCCACTGGCAGATACAGATTTGGATATCATTGTCAATTCTTCTGCAGCTATTTCTTGCGAAGGTTCTAACCATGAAGGGTCTAAGCTCCAAGATGATTGTGTGCCAGAAGCGGATAAACTCGAGAATGAGGCTGAATCAACTGTAGTCATTACTGGGCCTAAAAGTGATTCAGAGGAAAATATACAAGCAGGAGAAGCCGAAGGTGCCTCTGAGACACAGGAAAGCTATCTTGCTCTCAAACTGAGTTTTACACTCCCTTCTTCTTGTTATGCAACCATGGCCATAAGGGAGCTGCTGAAAACATCATCCTCGGTACACTTCCACTTTAAATTTACTTCTCTCTTTTTCATTATATTCTAATTATAATGCTCTTGGTTTATAAAGTGCAGAATTATCTTATTGCATAATTTAATTTCAGTCGCATATAGTTTTCACTTATCTGCAACAAGATCTAATAAAAGAAATTGTCCATTTATGTTTCTAGAACTGTAACGATATATGGAAAATCATAGCTAATTAATTGTAATCGACCCATAAAAAAAATCATCGGTAGTTCTTTTTTGTGCTAAAGTTTCTTGTTATAAATTTTTATCATGCTCTAATGCGGCAAAAATCGGCATATAGTGCAATCCAGATGGATGACTAACCCCTTCTACATTGACCAGGTTGCCTTTCACAAGACGTTGTTGAACCAGTTAGGAAAATTTTGATAATCTCATTTTGCAATGATAGCGAAGAAACATGCTATCGAAGCAGCGACTTCGCAAATGGAGAAAATAGTACTTTTGGTTAAGAACAAAGCCAATCAAGAAACCCTCAGGTAAAATTTGTAGTCTTGTTTTACACAATGGCGTCATATATTTCTGTTACATATAGAAATATAGAATGAAACCTGATGTTAGGAGCTGCCATAATCGACTGCTGAAAGTAATCTTAGTTGTATTCTTGCAAGGAAAAATTTTCATCGAAAATCGAATCCATCCCTCTAGTATCTTGTTTCTATGAGTTATATGCTTTACCATGATGCATAATCTTTGTCAGATGCTAGGATCCTGAGCCAAAATATACTCTCATCCTTATTTTTCTCGACTATTCTCTATCTAAACACATATTGTTATTTAGAATTTAACAACATAAAGGCACATCTTTTTTCTTAGTTATTAGGGTATAGAAAATGAGCAGTGCAGAAATACAATGAAAGAATGAATGAATTGTAGTTGAACTGTTCCGCTGAGAATTATTTAGGTGTTTGTGGAGTTGGTTTCTTACCTTGATGGTTCATATTTGAGGCCACCTCATAATAATAATAATAATAATAATAATGATGGTGATGGTGATGAATTCATTGCTTGACATTTATCTCTAAGTAACCCTTCAACTTGGTACCAAAGAATTTGTCATTTGGTTGTTTACATAAATCTAATGTTGCTTGTAATAAATATGAATAAATAACACCATTGCTTGTTTCATACTTTTCTTGTTGAGATGTGTTTTTTTGGTGACATTGTTGAAAAGAAAATATTTTTATACAAAGTATGAAGAAGTGTGTAGGAATATAAAAATAATGATTATGCGTGGTGTATTAAAAAAAAAATGCTGAAAAAAAAAACATAAAAAGAACAAAGCATAACACTAATTTGCCGTTCAACTGCAAATATTGGTGGCACATTTTTTGTAATGTCATTATTATTCTGTTTCATGGCCAAAATTGATAGGATATACATATTTTATTGTATAATTATATATATTTATATTATATATATTTTTAATAATATTCATCGAAATAGTGACTTGATAGAAGAATAAAACATACCCTTATTTTGTGATAAATTTCCAAAAATACTGCGATGAGAACTTTTTTTTAGGGGGAGCGGTTCGGATTTTTTCAAATTCGAACTGATTCAAAAATCCGAAATTTTTGAAAAAATCAATCTGAACCGAACTGAAATAATCAAAATCCGAAAATTCGTAATCCAAACTAAAAAATTTGAACCAAACCGAAAAATCCGAAATTTTAAATATTTTTATTATTTTTTTAATTTTTAATTTTTTTAAATTTTATTATTATTTTATAAGATTAAATATATATAATATATAAAAATTAAATATATTAAAATATAATTAATAAATTTGAGTTTTTTATATTAAAATATAATATTTTCTAATAAAATATTAAATATGTATAATAAAAAAATATATTAAAATGTTATATTTCGGATTTCGTATTGGTTCGGATTTTAAGTACACTGATTCGATCCGAAAATTCGAATTTGTTAAAAATTCAATCCGAAAATCCGAACCAAATTTTAAATTTCAGTTTGGTTCGGATTGAATTTTCAGATATCGGATATTTTGCTTAACTCTACTTCTTTCTTTCTTTTTTTTTTTTTTTTTTTTTTTTTTAGCGAATCTTTCATTATGACTTTTGACCATATGTTTTTCCTTGAGTATGTATTAAATAAATTATGGTGCACTAGTGTTATGTATGTTTGGAGTATTTTTAATTAAAAATTTTCAATGTTTTGTTTATTTTTATTTTTTATTATATTTTTGTAATAGGAAAATTATAAATTATAGTACCAAAAAATAAAAAATTAAAACCCACAATCATCTGAGGCTTCTTAACGTTACAACAAGATTTATACATTTCCCTTCAATATAGTTTGTTTAGTTTGTGTTTGGGTTTGAGTTTGTTTAATCTTAATTTAAAGAATGGGTGTGATTACTTTTGTTATTAGATTTTTGGTTTCACTATTTCTAATTTTTTTTAGAACAATATCAAGTTAAATATTTATTTTTTATTAATTATATTATGCTAAAATTAAATTCTAAATTCAACACATTACATCAAAAGTAGATTTTTGAAATATTATTGAGTTGTAGTAAAAAAAATAAAAATACCCTTATTAGTATTGTGTAATATAAGGGTGGTGATATTTGTGTAATATATTCTAAGTTAGAAATGTATTTATTATGCTAAATTTGGTAATACAATTACTAAATTAAGAAATAGTACTCTTGTTTTGGGACTACGGATGTCAAATGGGACGAGTTAGCCCCGGATCCGCCCCGGACCCGGTCTTAATGGGGCGGATTCGGATCTAAATAATTTGGTTCGGAGCGGGTTGTGGATTTTGAGTTTTAGACCCGGACGGGTTCGGGCGCGGGTTACGGGTTTTACTATAAATTCGTCCCACCCCAGACCCGGATATTTTAATAATTATTATAATTTATTTATATTTTTATACAATATAAATTATATTATTTATTTATTTAAAACATTTTAAATATAAAATATAACTTTAATTTTAAATCAAATTTATGTTCGCATTTGTTTTTTCTACAATTCTCTTTATAATCGGAACTACTGCGGACCGCCATCACTACAGACTATCGTTAATATTTGATTTTTCTTATTTTTAAAACTATAATGTTTTGTAATTTGACGCATATTTTTTTTAGTATTAAATTATTTTTTAAAAAATTATTATTTTTTTTCTTAAAAAAGAAACGAGTTTGTAAGGTTGGTGGGCGGAACAGGTCCTGGGGCTGGGTTGAAGCAAGGCGAACGGGTCTTGAGTCCTAATATTTTCCAATGGGGGAGTGTCCTGCAAAATCCGTCTCGAGCCTGCCCCGTTGACATCCCTATTTGAAACAGACGGAAATAAAAAATAAAACCTTTCTTATGGGACGAAAATAGTAGTTAAAATCAAAACCTAAAATCAAAATATTAGAGATAAACACACCAAATGTTCAAAACCTAAAATCAAAATATTAGAGATAAACACACCAAATGTTTTGATATATATGTATATATATTTTATTAAAAAATAAATTAAGTATTTTATTGAAAATTGAGTTGCATGGTTTTATTATTATTATTGGAAAAAAAAAAAAAGGTATTCTGAAATCCAAACCTTAATATTCATCGCCGTTACTTTTACGAAATTGAAGCATTTATTAACTAAATAAAAAATTGTAATACATGAAAACATGAATCAAACATTCTGCATATCTTCTCGTCATCATCTAAATAAATCCAAAACCCAAAACTGCATTTTTCACTTATTTGCTAAATTCTATTTGAAGTTATATACTCTCTCCGTCCCACGTACAGTGTCTGCTACACTGTAAACACGGTATTTTACGAGATGTGTAATTAATAGATAATTAAGAATATATTAGTGAAAATAATTATTCTATAATATAAATAATTATAAATTAAAATTACGATAACTAATTAGTTTAATTAAAATTTTAAAAAAATTAATTAAAAAGTTTAAAATTGGATTAAAGTGTGTAATCATTTTCCAAAAAAAAAAAATGACATGGAATGTGAGACGAACAGAAACGGCAACGTGGACATGGTACGTGGGACGAAGGGAGTAATTAGCAGCACCAATAAAATTTAGCTGTGTTTTTGTATTCAAATAAAGTGTTCACATTCATGTTTCTTTTGCAAAATTTCTCCAAATTTTACTATTTGAACTCGTTTTTCGAAAAAAAATACATTTTTTTCTCTCACAAAATATCTCATCAAATATTATTTTCATATCAAATCAAAACCAAATTTTTTCGAAATTCATCAAAAGAAACAAATATTCAACTTCACAATATAAATTTCTTTTTAAAAAATAAAAATCACACTAAACGAACATTAATTTGCAGACATGGTTTCCGACGAGATAAAATTATAAAAAATAATATTATATATTAAATATTAGTTTTCTATAAAATGATAAGAATATATATTATATTCCCTCCATTTCACATTGCATGTCTACATTACTGTAAATACTAAAATTTATGATAAATATAATTAGTAGATAACTAAAAATATATTAAAATAATTATAAATTAAAATTAAAATTAAAATAATTAATTAGTCTAATTAAAATTAAAAATAAATTAAATTTAAAATTTTAAAATAAAAATAAAGTGCAATCATTTTCCAAAATAAAGAAAGTGATAAAATATAAGACTAACAGAAACAACAATGTGGACATCGATGTGGAGGAAGTATATATTTGAAATTGTGTCGAAAAAAAAAAAAAAAAATTGATGAAGAAACAAACCCATTATTTTAGAGATTAGATTCAGATTTCTTACATGCAACCATAGTTATGTTTTAGGAGGCAGGGGTTGTTTGTTAGAGAGATTTTCTCAAGATTCTACTATACATCAAATTTTTCATTCCAAAAAACATAAAATGAAATACCTATTTTTTATTTTTTATATTATATTAAAAATTAATTTTACACCTATTTATATAACTATCATACAATTATTCTAATTCAAATTTTTTACTAACTCAAAATCTTAACCCTCAAACAAACACAACCTTCAACGTAGCATATATTATCTACAACATAGAATATATGCCATCTTTTGACATGATCAAATCAGCTTCCTATTTTCATAATATATTTATTCAGTTATTCAAATTTATGTTTGCTTTTTTTTTTTGGGCTGTCTGTCGAAAAATATTATCATTTATTTTTTAAGTAAAAAATCATTCAACTCTTGTACTGTTTTTTACTATAAAAAAAAAATTAACAATTATTACTCACTTTTATTTAAACTCATGCCGGGTCAAATGAGCAAAAAAGGGATTATATTATTAAACAAAATATACCTGAAGCATCATGGCAAGTTGTACACAGAAACCCTTTAGATCTTCTTCTTCTTCTTCTTCCCCAAAGCATTGATTTCCTGCAGAGACATGACTTTACAGCAAAAATAAAAATAAAAATAAAAATAAAAATAAATAGCTAGTAATAAATAATTGTGCAGTATAGGCAGGCAGCCATTCACTAGAAATGAAAAATGACAACAACTAACTTCCCTAAATCAGAATGAGAATCTACAAAGATCCATCCATCCATCCATCATCAAAGATCAGATCAAATGCTTTTCTTGTACAGAATACATATTGCATTGTTCTGCTAACTTAGCTTAGCTTAGCTTAGCTTTCCATATAATGTTCATCCAATCCAATGTACAGATTAAATTAAATTAAATTAAATTACAACCACCTTTCCTTTTTACCTATCAACGCATCTTTCCATTTCTCCGATATGGCAATTTATCTCAGTCATCAGGCACCTCCCAGTTTCGGTGGCTGTCGTTGACGTATAAATAATTAGTCGTCGAGCATTCGAATTTGTGCATGTAAACAACCAACAATTCAGGACTCATATTATTAACATTAGTTAGATTGATAGATATATGCATATAGTACCTTCTTCAGAATAACCTTTGAACTGCTTGCAATAGGCTTTAGGATCTCGAAAGAACACACTAGCGATTCATCCACGCTCAAAAGAGCGCCAACGTTGTCAAACTCTCCTCCGTAGTTTGGAGCTGAAAATATCGTGACGAGCCTTCTCTTTGCAAAGAACTCATACCCGTCCTCTACCACCTGAAAAATGCAGCACATGTTCGTGACAAGATGAAGATAAAGCTCGTCCAAGATCATCATCGTAACAAAACAAAAATGCACATTTAAATCCAAGCCATCTTGGAGGAATAGTGAAAGAAAATTTTGATTTTCCATCTGCTAATGCAGAAGAACACGATAACTTGCGCACCTGATGACCCCGGCAAATGAGGTCCAGTTCATTTTTGTCCAAGAATTCAGCAACTGCATCGGGCCCAAAAACGCATGAAACTCCTCTATCACTATCGGACCAACCCCGTACCCGAGGATCAGGATCGGACCAAAGCAGATCACAGAGGAGACCACTATCTGGAACGTCGGTGGGCCTTGGAATCTCCTTTATCTGATCCAAAGTTTTTAACTCCGGGGAAAGCCCTCCATGCATGCAGAGAATCTTTTCGTCGATCAGCGCAGAGACAGGCAAGCAATTGAAGCAGTCGGTGAATATCTTCCAGAGTCGAACATTGAATCTCCTCTTACACTCGTCGTAAAATCCATAAATACGGTTGATTTTGGCATCTTCGTGATTCCCACGCAGAAGATAAATCTTATCCGGATACCTTATCTTGTAAGCCAATAGCAAGCATATCGTTTCCAAACTCTGCCTTCCTCTATCTACATAATCTCCGAGAAATAGGTAACTTGTCGATGGAGGACACCCACCGTACTCGAACAGCCTCAACAAGTCTTGGTACTGCCCGTGTATGTCGCCTGTAGGAGACATTGTAGCTCTGATATGAGTATCTCCTTAAAAAAAAAATGTCACCGAATTCGAATGCTCCAAGTTTTGTTTAACACAAGATTAATGTATGAATGAATACAAATAGAATGATCATCGTAGCCACAAATCCAAATCCAATCAAGCATAGAGACACCTATAGTGAGTGAATCAAAATGCACACATAATTCTTCTGTTCAATTGAAGAACAACTGGAAAACCTAAATCGTAATGAATGAATGAATCAATCAATCTACAAAACTAGGTCAATCAATCAATTATGACTTCCTCTATCAAATAAGACTCCGAATTAGAAAATGCATTTGCTCAAGCATAGAAGCCTAATTTTCGTGAACAGCCATAAAACATTCATTCGTGAGCGTAGAAGGCTTCAAGAGTGATGAACATAGCCGACATACCGCATATCCTTATGGGAGGACGGAGCTGAAGGAGAGCTGGCTCGGAGAGGAAGATTTGGCGGGCGTTGACGCAGAGCTGGCGGATCTCGGTCTCGGAGAGCTGCACCTGCTTCCCTCCCTTGCCGTCAAAGAGGCGGCGGATGATGTCGTCCAGCACACCCTTGTCCATCATCCCTTCAATTGACATCATCCTTGAACTGATAATTCTGAGCGAGAGAGTTCAATACAAACAACGATCCAGAACAGAGAAGGACATGGAAACAGTCGGATATATCCGCGGATTAAATAATAATTAAGAACAAATCAACACATGAGAATCCAGGATGAGATAGATCTGCTCGACTCTGCTCCTCACTTGCTACTAATTCCTTCCTTTTCGTGTGTCTGTCTGTGGTGTTTTTTTTTTTTGGGGATATAATTTTTTAGCTTTGTCATGTTTTGGAAGACACGTTATTTAATTAATTATTATTATTATTTGTCATAGTGCTTATGAGTGATAACGACGACTTTTTTAATTTTTATTTTTTTAAAAAATTAAATACTGTCTATATCTCAGTATAATTGATACTCTCTCCGTACCCAATCTATTTATCCATTTGCTTATATCCATTTGTTTTTTTACGAAATTTTAAAAATATTAATATTATATTAGAATAAAATAGAAATAATAATAAAAAGACTAAATTAACTTTTGTATGATATAAAGGTAATCACATTTGTGTAATATATTATAAATTAGAAGAGTATTTGTAATGTTAGGTAGATAGTACAATTACTAAAAAAGAAAACGATACTTTGTTATGATACGTACTAAAATGGAAAAATTGATAGATTATTAAGGGACGGAGGGAGTATTTTTTATTACTCCCTCGTCCCACATAGGTATGTCCACGTTGTCATTTCTCTCCGTACCATATACCATATCATTTTTTTTTTGAAAATTATTACACACTTTAATCTCATTTTAAATTTTTTAATTTTATTTTTTTAAAAAAATTTAATTAAACTGTTATCTTAATCTTAATTTATTATTATTTATATTATCGGATAATTATTTTCACTAAAATATTTTTTCAATTATCTACTAATTACACCCCTCCTAAAATACCGTGTCTACATTGTACACATTGGACGGAGGGAGTACAAGATAATAAAATTTAATTAATAAATAATAATAAAATTTGATATTATCTTTTATTTTTTTTATATATAATTAATTATATTGATAACTTTAAAATAAATTAAATGCATATATTTAAAAAAATAGAATATATATTTAAATATATTAAAAATTATATTGCAACAAAAAAATATATACTATATTAATATTATTTTGTAAAAAATAAAATTTCATACTCTCTCCGTCCCAGATAATCATTTGCTTTTTACGTAATTTTAGAATGGAGGGAGTAATACAAATAAATAAAAAAAAAATATATATATATAGATAAAATTATTTGATTTCTAGGAAAGACATAGAAATAATGATGTAGTTAATTAAGTTAAATTTATTTTTATTATATATATGTTTTGTTCAAAAAGTATTTATTTTTAATTTTTATAAAAATATTAAAAAAATTTATTTTAAAGAAAAAATATCAAAATTATCTTATATATTTTTACCAATTAATAAAATATTATTATTTAAAATAAATATTGAATCGAAATAAAAAATATATATATATTTTTCTTTCTCTTCTAACTTTATGTTTATTTTCTTTTCTTTTTAATTCAAAAAAATATGTTACTTGTATTTTTTTTAAATTTATGCTTCATCAAATTATCATAGATTTCGATGTAAAAAAAAAAAAAAAAAGTAATGTTTTTAATTTAATATATTTTATAATATTTATATAGTTTTGAAATATTCTTTTGTAAATATAATTTTAAAAATTATTTTAAATAAAAAGTGAAATTTTATTAAAAGTAAACATTCTAACGCTAATAAATTATTAAAAGAAATGTGATAGAAAGAGGATATCATAATAAAATAATAATATTAGAATGTAGGGGGAACGCATGTGGACAAATGGACAGTTTGAAAGGTTCTAAAGAGCAGGGGCAAAATGGGAAATTAAGTGCATTGACTTAATAAGCGTGGAGACGCACTGTCTAGTTGTCCCGGGGACGGGCCGTCAAGACCCGACCCGATTAAATTTTGAGACTATAAATAAATCCAGGAAGCTTGAACGTATAACTAATTTCCATAAATTGATTGAAGGTATGATAACCTAAAATAGCAAAGGTTCAGAGTCCCAATAACCATTTGAATAAATTGTAATGAAAAGTGGCAAACTGCCCAATTCAGCCCAAAACTGGGAAGCATATCATATCATATCATACTAAAAGTACAAAATATGATGATCAGGTAGTACAAATACAATACAATTAGACAAAACTAATCTTCCTTTTAAGTTTAAAGCATCATACAGACAGACAGAAATCATCAGTTGAAGGAAATTACCTCTTCAGAGACATCCAATACTTCCTCTATTTCCACTTCTTTAGCCTCATACTCTTCTTCTTCGTCGTCGCTGGCTTCTCCGTCGCGCAGCTTCTGCCTCTCCAGTTTCTCTTCTTCGTGCAGCCGTTTCCATTCGCTCAGCAACCTATCCCACTCTTCCTTCAGCATTCTCCTCTTCTCGCGCTCCTGCTCACTTAGCTGCAGAGATACATCCTGATCCTCTGCCTCGTATTTCTTGCTGTATTTCTTGAGGTTTTTGGCAATCTCTTCTTCTTTCTCGGGGGTCAAGAAAGATGGGGGCCTTGGCCGCCACAAGAACTGCAGTGAAGCAACAATAATGTATGTCACGGACAAGAATATCAATGTATAATATAGTCAGCCATCACTCAATAGAACAGACTCGATTCCTCAGAAGAATCAATATCTTACTTGGAAGAAATGATCCTTGAGTATCCTGTATAGCTGTTTTCCATTGAATGACCAGACACAGAATCCATTTTCCATTTCATGGACAGACGTAACAGCAGTCACAACATACCTATACAGTCGAAAAAACCATGTCAAAGATGAGAAAATCCATTGCATATGAAACCAACCTCCAAACAGCAAAGCAGAAGACTCATCGACACGGCAAGAATGTTAATCCAAAACCATAAGAATCTTTAGTGTCACGGGTGTTACCTTCCTGTTGGATCCCACTCAACATCTGTCGCCATGAAATGCTCGGTTTGTGCCATGGTCTCAAGCTCATCAACATTATAGAATTCTAACTGCCCATTAAAACCTTTTAACCCAGCCAGTATAATAAAGCAGCCACCTGGTGACCAGAAAAGAGCATTTGCCTGCTTTCCCTTGAGAGTAGCGAGCTTTGAAACACGACCAGTATGAGTTCCACTGCACATTGAGTAGAAGCTCACATCAGGCTTGGGGTTATCACCATGGATCACTGCAAATCTGTGACCTTTGGGCTCCCAGGCGAATGCAATGATCTTATCATTCTTATTTTCAAGTTCCAGAACCTCAATAGGTATGTCCGGTTCTTTGATTCTGAAAAGCTCAAAGCCAGTATAAGTGCTCTTCTTGGTTTTTGTATAACGATCTATTTTAACAGCCAGGTAATCCCCATTGCTTTGCCAATACATCTTACAATCGCTAACACTGAAGAGATTCTTTTGTCTCAACTCTGCTTTGCACGGTATTTGCACAAGACTCACCTGGTAATAACATCGAGAAAGGTAAGGGGAATAATTAATTTCCATTGACGCATAAGCATCAAAAAGTTAAGCAGGAGTGTGTGAGTTCACCCTAGCAGGTTGATTTCCTCCACCGAGTTCAGGAACATACAGCGCTAGAATGGGATCAGTGGGCGACCAACTGAAGTCCACAACGTTTTCAACCTTGATGGACTTCTTATCAATAAGGGTAAATGATTCAGTTTCATAAACAGAAACAAGATTTTTCCCTATTCGAGCAAAGTACTTATCTTCTCTACCACTTCCCCACCTGTACAGAGAATGCATGTGAGACATTAGAAACAGCCCTGAGCCAACACCAAAGAATATGCCCACTCAGTTGTTAAAGTGTCTCAAGTTGGATAGGAACAACATCAAACTGATATTTACTAATCACCTGAAAACAGGCCAAGACACCCTACTAACACCACCAGTTCCTCCAATAGCAAAGTCATCAGCACTTCCCTTGAAATCTCTCATAACTTTTCCAGTTCTCACATCAAAAATGTTGATCACAACCCTCTGTGAAGAGTGAAGACATGCTATTTTATGACATGATTGAAGTAGTGGTGTGCAGTATTTTAAAAAATAATCGAGAAAAATTACATGAGTATCACGAGGATTGCTTGGCGCATGGCTGCTGTAAGTCACCAAATATCTCTCTCCAGGGGAGAAATCAATCAATTTCACCTGCAAACCAAACCATTAAAACACAAGCACATAGTGTGATTTGCCTTGTCAGGCCTAGTTTGTAGGATATTAGGTTCGGTCGGACGGTTTACCTAGTGCGCACTTTCGGGTAGCAGCTGCGAGTTCTCACATTATAAGAAAAAAAAAAGAAAAAGGAAAAGGAAAAGGATAATAAATCCTAACCCTAAACCCTAATGACCTGTGGATGAGCACATCGCATCAGGTGGTTGAATGTGGTCGCTCCACCCCAGACTGCAGCACCCTGCCTATGCACTGTAGCTAAATAGGTTCCTAATGGTGACCACTGAACAAAACTCTCTGTCCAGGACTGCAACAGACATCAGTGACAGATGTCAAGAAACTATGAATTGATATTTAAAGAAAGCATAAGGGTATACCTTGCATCATTTGAAGCAATTCACATGGTAAAGAACAACGCTATAAATAAGGTCTTTTCAAATGCACACCCATGCTTGAGCACAGAAAAACTTACAGGTCTTTTATAAACAAGCTCGGGCTTGGCGTGCCTTGCATCATTCCACATAACCTCAGTGTCTGAACCTGCAAGAATCACAAGCTGATCTCTCGCTTTTTCATCAGTGAGCCACTTTTGCAGATTTTCCTGTACAGCCAAGCCATTTGTACAAAAAATGTGCGATAAAACTAATAAATTTTCTGTAAGGAGAGAGAACTCTCTCCCTTAATGATTCTCCCACTGATTTGGATACCATATCGTTGGGAACATGTGCATGTACGCGTGTAAGTGAGAGAAAGAAGAGGAAGAAGACCAACCCCTGGAGCGTAAGGCTTGGTTTCTGGAGGTGCCCACTCCTCTGGGACTTTCATGAACTTATCAATATCATCAAACATATTAACAGCAAAAATGTGGGCTCGATCCAGTTTGTACCCATGGGTCTTTTCTTTAGCCAATTCAGCTTCCTATGCAGAATCCAAAGATTAGTTTTAACTCCCGATACAGAGAAACATATAGAGATAGTCATACAATTGTAAAGAACAACCAAATTCATATTTATGGCATAATATATATATATATATATATATATTCAATGAGAGAAAAACTCATTTTGTATATTTGATCCATTTCTGATCACCACGAAAATCAACAGTTTCGATTGGATACAAAGAACAGTTAGAAAAAACTTCCAGATAGCTATACATATATATATATATAACCATTTAATCTTCTGTGGGGATCATAATTGAAACGGACTAACCATGCTATATGATGCATCAAATCAAATTACAAGTAATGAATTTAAGCCGCTAATACAATAATAACCATCATCACATCAGCAAAGAAACCCGACATTTTCAAACTGCACCAAGCTTCAGTCTACTAAAAGGAGAATCTAAACAAGAATCCTATCACACTTATATCCAATCAAGAGGAGAAACAGGGATCTCCAGCTGATTGAAGCATGATTCCGGAAGGCTGAAAAAAGCAGCCATGATGAAAGGATGTACTGCACTCTGATCAGTAATAATTGCATCAGAGAAATCAAAACCTAGAGATTGCTTGAAGGTAGAGAGAACAATGCCCATTCTATCTTCCAATAAGAAACAAGCAGTTGAGGAACTTGAAGACACTTAACCATGTTGTTACCTGAGGGGTGTTGTATTCAATGAAGCAATAGCCTAGCGTTTTCCCAGTGTCGGGTTCCACAGGCATCCAGAGACCATTCTCCTTGATTACCCCGATTTGACAGTAAATCTTCCGGACAACTCCTTCCAGTTTCTCGAACTTCTCTTTTGTCACCGTTGGCAAATTGTCTACCACAATTGCATTTCCAAAACCCTCCTCGAACTCCAGTGGCTCCCCCTCCTTCAAATCCTCGTCATCGCTGTACACAAATTATCAACGGAGATGAAAAATCAAGCAATACTACTAACATGAGAAACCGATTATGAGAAACCGATTAGAAATCTAATCGTCGATGGTAACCTAATTATGCCAAAATCTTCGCCTGGAGGGAGACGAATTGAATCGAGATCAATAGATGCAACGTCAACATCCAAACGCGAAGCAAAGTCCCGTATGTCCATCATTGTCATGGTGAGCGCCATGGCTGGTGGCTATCGACAAAGGAGGAACGAGGAGCTGAGCCGCCGCCTTTTGCGATATTAGGGTTTCAGTGAAAGGATCTGATGGGCTGAACGGAGAGTGCTGTATTAATTATATTGTGCATCGTGTGTTACTTACTGTGTTTGTTCGAAGAATTTTGAACAATTTTATAGTATTATTTATATATATATATATATATATATATTTTTTAATATCAAATTAAATATTATTTTTAGCTTTTATATTAAGGTGTAATTGGACTAAAATCCCTACTTCCACAAATTGTTTGAAGTTCAGTCCCCATTTATAATTTGTTTAAGTTCATTCCCTCTTTTTCTATTTTTATTTATCCCCAATCCCTCGTATATTGAATTTTCTCTCCACCCATTTATACGAATTCGGGCGATAAATTCTGTGGCCAATTACCCAAAATCTTCAAATCAATCAAGAGCAATCCGATTGCCCAGTGTCGGGTGCTCATGAAAATCCATTTCTCCCTGCCCATCTCTCTATTTCAATCTTCACTCCAAAAATCGATCTTTTTTTTTTCTTTTTTTTTTGTACACAAAATTGGGAGTGAAATTCGTCATAATCCTGTGATTGCAAAATCATCACCTCTGTAAACATTTGATCGTGCTTGGTGGTTGTTGATGATTATGGAATTCATTAAATTCATTTGCCCTAATTTGTTTGAACTGCTATGAAAAGGAAAGTGATTTCAGCATCGGAACAACACCGCACCGCAAAAGCAAGTCGAGAAACATAACAGAGGGAGAATCGCACTATGAAGAGAAAAGCGAGAGAGCGTTTGGTTTGAGAGAGAGAGATTTAGAATGAATGTAAATGTTGGAGTTGTGTTCATGAGTGTTGATGCTGCTGTTCAATGAGAGGAAGAAGGTATTCGGTGCTATTTCGGAGTAGATCGGAGGAGTATGCCGTTGTCGCCATGCGTTGCTGTTTGATATGAGAAGAAGCCGTCATCGATCAAATTGGACATCCTCAATTTCACCTGAATTGAATCTCTGCAGCACAAACAGGAAGTCATTCCAATTCAATTGCATAATTTCTTATTGTTTTGTTTTGTTTTTTTTTGTTTTTTTTTTTTCTAGATTTGTTTGGTTAATTGGAATTAAGGCATTGTTGTTTGTGTTTTGATTTTCCTGATTCCAAAATTGATTTAGCCTAATATACTATGTTAAATTCATTTCATTTCGGTATTAATATTATTTTGGATTTATTCGAATTTGCTTCCGCTATTAATTGATTTGTAAAATTTTGTATACGAGGTATTGTCCAAATGAATTAAACGATTCAGAATATAAATCTACAACACTCCATATATAAGAGGTTTTATATTGTTCTTTTTAATATATATATATATCCATAGGATGTACATTAATCATTTATTGTCAATGTAGTTTTTTTGTAATTACTTTTGGCATATTGGATATTATGTAATATTGTAGGTAAATATACAATCATAAGACCGAATGTGTATTGAAACGTTTTTTTAAATTTGTGGTACCGTGGTAAATGAACGAGAATTATAGGTATATGACGATAATCATTTATAGAAGAGTTGTTGACGACAAAGTTGTTTGGATGCAAACAGAGGTAAACGACCGATAGGTATGTGACAATGCTCTTTTTTATATGATACAATAACGACATAGGTTTTCGGAAATGTAAAATAGGTATACGAGTGGCCGATGAGGCAAATTTAATTATTTGAGCGAATATATAGTTGATGTCTCAAAGCACATGGATGCGGTAGCATATTCCCAACCTTAAAATTAGCCTAAATTTATGCTAATTAATTTGCCGAGTTATTGTTTTTTAAAATGCTCATAAACAGATGTTACTGTGAGTGTCATGCGCTATGCAAATATGTTCCTCACTGAATGCTGTTGTGTATGAAACAATGTGGATTAATCGTAATAGGTCTAATGAATTTCAATTTATGACATCATGCATTTATACTAACAACCAACATAATTTAACTTACTCACTTATGACTTGTTTAGTCATTTACAAATCAAGTTTGGAATATGATCATACAAATTAACTAATTATTTATAACTTGTTTAACCAATAATAGTAAATATGTATTGTTTATCTTTCCATGCACTTTGGGGTGTCGCGAGAAACACTACCATAGTTGAATTCATTCATGGTTATTGTCATTTAGTGAATATTTCAAACAAAAATGCAAGTTCTCTAGCTATAGGTTACCAGAGCATATGTAATCGTAACTGAAGTATATTTGATTTTATTTTAGGTACGTAATATCTTATCTAGGGTATCTACATTTATAATTCTGGTATGTAACCATGTGAGCCGAGTATAAACCTTAATATAAGAGGTATAAATATGATTTCATAAGCATTGGATTGTAGTACCAGGTATCTTCAAATGTAGTTTTATTTAGTCAATCCCACGCAGAGGGTCCAATACGCAAACTCGGTGAGATACTCTCTCTCGATTTTTGTAGACCAAAGATTTTTTTGTGTGTTACGGTGTGTATTATTGGGAAATAGGTCTAAATAACCAATCAATCTATGAGAACAATGATATATGAATAACAATCAACATAATTTACCCTAGACACTCCTTACTTGTTTAACAATCTATAGTAAATATGTGTTGATTACCATGATGAATTCATCTCTGGTCCGACATCAAATGAATATTTCGAACTGAAAACAACCGATTCCCCAACCACATGTTACCAGGGCATATATATTTTTTACTGAAGCGTACAAGACTATTATTATAGGTACGTAAGATCTGTGCCAGGGTGTGCGTATATTTTGTATGCAGGTATGTAAGTATGTGATTCAGGTACAAAAACCGACTAATGAGGTATAAATAATGGTTTCTTAGGTATTATTTGTGCAGTACCAGGTATCCTCAAATTTAGTTGATTTCGGTCAACTCACGCAGAGGAACTGATTCATGATCTTGGTAAGAGCACTTCCTCTGTTAACCTCGGTGGACCGAATATTGTTGTATATGCTATAGTATGGATTACTATGTAATAGGTTTAAATAACAATTAATCCGTGAGAGCAATGATGTATGATTGTGTTTCCCCATTGGATTTTTGTAAATATGTACTCTTTGCATATTAATACCCTCCAGAAATTGGTAGAAAATTCTATCTTGTTTAATTCATCCCCGATTACCATTAATATGTGAGTATATATTGCTTTCTATGATTATTTTATTAAAATTATTGATTGTGTCAATAGTATTTCTGTGAAATTAAATTTACTTTCAATGACACAATTATATAAGAATGAGATTTGTTTGGACTATAATGGAACTATGGGTATATTGGTGCATAATAGATTGCATCCTAGAAACTTGTATTATTCTTATATTTTCAACGTCACCCAACTAAGTATTTTCTATATAGTTTATCAATCTATAGTAGATATGTGTTGTCTATGTTTTCATATAGTTCTAGGATTCTCGAAAACACTATAATGATGAATTTATCCATGATTACCAACAAGAATTGAATATTTCAAATTCAGAATGATCCGTTTCCAAGAACAAGTTATCAGAGCATAGATACTCATTACTAGAGCATATGAGATCGTATTATAGGTACGTAAAAACTACCCCGGGGTATTTGGATATTTAATGCAGTATGTACGTTATGGGTACAAGCATTGAAATCAAGGTATTATTTATGTAGTAGCAGGTATCTTTGAATATGGTCGACCTCACTCAATCTCTTGACGGATGAGGCAATTAAGGAACTCGGTGAAAACACTTCTTCTATTAGCACTTCTTCACTTCATTGGTGGTTGAGAGTAATGACAACGATTGAGAGGGTATAAACATTTGCAGTACATGTATATATTTTTCTTTCTTAGGTGCATCACTAATTACTCAAGTATCCGTAAATGCACTTTTGTTCATTCTAGGCATTACTTCAACTATTGCAAGGTCTTGTAATGAATTATTTAATTTCAATTTAAGAGAAGTATGCATAACTTTTTTGGCTTGTTGTTCTCTTCGTACAAGGATAACATTCCTAACTGATGGGTAACATGTATATGAGCATATATATATATTGAAGGTACTTTGATCTAGTTAGACGGGTACATCGATCTCTTGAGGAGGTACATCATGTGCATTATTGCAATTCTGACTATGTGAAGAATTAATTATACAATCATTCACAAAACAATTGATAACATTACTCCAAATATTAAGTTTCACTAAATTCAACCCACAATTCAATCTCTCAATCAATCTTAATACAATCCCATCGAATCGGAGACCAATCGAACCAATTCAACCAACGATTCAATCCGAAAATAACATATTACCCAAACCAACCACAAATAACATAACCCAAATCAATCCCAAATTCATTACAGACATTCACTTACCCTGTGTTGCTCATCAGAATCTACGGTTTGGAGGATGCACATTTCAGTATTCTGGCCGCAATTTTACTGTGGTAGCTTTTCACATTATCAAACTCGCCACCGATACCACCAATGAGATGAACTGTTGTATTCGCGTGGGCAAAACTTTTGGCGAACATGCGGACCAAAGGACTACAATCGAGAGTGTCACCTTGATGTCGAAATCTTACGTATTCGGGCGTTTTCCTTACCATGAGCCATAGGTGTATTGCGATTAGGTACAACTGTACAAGTATAAAAAGCATGTATGCAAAAATAACACAATATTTTGTTACGTAATTCGATTTATCCACGGTCAATTAATTATATATATCCAGTAAATGCACTAATTTTTTTGCATTCCCTTGTCCGAACGGATTATGCAGTGAATTGCACTCAAGCATAACCCAACATACGGTCAATTAATAAATATCATCAATCTATATTACCCAAATCTCAAATTTATTAAAAAAATTATAAGAATTTATCAGGAGTACGTAACAATACATTTCGAATACACAGTAGTCCCCTAAAAGTATACTCTTAGCATACTAGACCTAAAAGATACAACTTGGGGTACCTAACAATACCACATTTGCAACCTAAAAACATGACTAATTACCGAATAATCAAACAAAAAACATGAAATATGCAACTCCGGATAACTAAAAGGATATACATTTACAAAATTAACAAAAATCACAGATTAAGCAAATAAAATCACCCAAATCGGTGCGAAGTAAAACACCCAACCCGATCTACGTGGGCAAACATACGAACGATTTCAAACTCGATTAACAAACACAACTACACCAATCACCCAAGGCTCCTCAACACTGAACTGAGACATACAAACACAGAACCAAGACTTACACTCCAAATAATCAAACAAACTACGGTATAAAATACTAATGTCAACAGAATAAAAAATCGAAAAAATCCGACCAGACACTTACTTCTTCGAACTTGTCGGGGGATGGGAGCAGGTCAGTTATTTTCTTCACTATTTTTTCACCAATCAGACGCTACTTGATCGCTAGGGATTGGAGAACGTCGGTTTGCCTAAAGATGGAAGATGTAGGGTTTAAAATCGAGATGAGGAGAGTTATGAGAAGTTTCATGTCTCAACCCTTGTTAAATCGTGTGTAACTATTTATATTTTATTTTTTAATTCGCGAAAAAATGTACGCGATATTTAACTTGAAGTATATATGATTGTAATGGGGGTAGAGCGAGAAATAATGTAGGTATATATTACAACTTTTGAAGTATTGATAAACTTATTTCGAGTACCTATTGTGTATATAACATTAATTGAGGGGAAAATACAATTGGGGAGCTGTAACATACATAATCCATAAAGTAGGGACTGCAGTCCAATTTATTTTAAATAGGGACTGAATTACAAGTGAATTTATCTGACAGGGATTTTAATTCAACTTTCCCTTATATTAAACTATAAATTAATTTTTTATTTCTGATATTACATTAATACTTATTTATATCAAATTATATTATTATTTTAATTCAATTTTTTTTTTTATTCAAATCTCAATTTAAATCCAAACCGTCAATCGTAATATAATATAAATGCATAATATAAATATATTAACAATATAATTTAAAAATTATTATTTATATTGTGAAATCGTATCAAATAATTTAATTTTAAGAACTAATTGAAAAGATTAGTATTTTCACTAGTTATTTTTTGAATATGAAAAGATAGAGAATTAATTAATGAAGTTTAAATATATTTATAAATAATTTAGGTTAAATTTAAATTTTAAAATTTTGAAATTTAAAATTTTTTTTAGATAATTTTTAATTTTTTTTGACAATGTAATAAATTTTAATAACTATACTTCTTATTAAATGTAATAAGTTTTATTATAGTAAAATTGAAAGGACAATGATAAAAGTAACTAAAGAGTTGACTATAACGGAGGCTCTTACTGATAAATTAAATATTATCATAATTAAATGTATAATTTGTTAAAGGGTAAGATAGTATATTACTAAAATTTTAAAAAACATTTACAAAAGGCAATATTATTCCTAAATAATAATATTATTACTATATTACAGAAATAATACAGGATATTACATAACTGCCCCGAATGACGTCATCAATGGTGGGTGACTTGTTTTCCAAACTGTTGAACGGAAACCGTGTTCTTTTTGGGACAGTAACAAAAACAGATTGAAGAGGCAAATGAAATCGGGATTTGTAAGAAAATGAGCAAAAGTGGCTCCCAGTTTTCGCCTCAACTCGCAATCTTTCTTCCATTTGATTTCTCCTTTTTCGCAGTTCCCGAAACTCGCCTCTGAAACGTACATAATTTTACCCTAGAGTAATCGAATCTAATCCATTTAATTCGATTGGATGCCTTTCGAAATCTGTGAATTTTGTTCAAATTATGGGTTTGGGAGAAATTGATCTTTTCGACGACGCCGGCGGTAAGGCGGCGGCGCCGATGTCGGTGTCGTGCTCGATTTGCTTGGAGGCGGTCGTGGACAACGGGGATAGATCCTGGGCCAAGCTTCAATGCGGACATCAATTTCATCTCGGTGCGCACTTATTCTTACAATACTTTTTTCCTTAATTTTACAACATTTCCTGATGATAATCGAGATCTATGTAATTATATTTAATTTCTACTGTTTGATTTATGTATTGAATCTGTTAACGGAGGAGGAAGTTATAGTTTGTTGTTAGTTCATCTGCTTCGTTCCTTCGATGGTGTGGGCAGGCTACCTTGTTTAGGATCTGATGGTGACAATTGGAGATGAAGATGATCCATTGACTTTGTAAAAATAAAATTAATAATTAAGTAAAAAAAAAAAGAATTTAGCTTATGGGTAAAATGGGAGCATCGTTATTACAAGATATGGAGCTTCTGTTTTGGTATTGTGGCTTTAGCTGAGGAGTGTGTTGAATTAGTGGATAAGATTTGTAGGTCTTTTTTTTGTTCTTTGAATGATCTTGTAAGAAGAGTTGTTGTAGGTAGGTGAGGGTAGATAATTTGTAGTACTTTTTAAAAATAATATCGGGAATGGCGCTAATGGTAGTTAGTTGGCGACTTGGCGTAATGAATTTGATGCTGGAAATGGATAGATTTTGTGTAGGTTACATCGTTGTCGGGCGTCTTTATGCCAATATATTTAGATTATTTTTAAATTTTCTTCTTGCTCTTGGAATTTGATGTAGGAAATGGATTCTATTTTGTGTAGATTATATTTGTGTCGGGCGGCTTATGCCAATATATTTGTGTAGGTTATGTTTGTGTCAGCTTAATTTTCAATTTTCTTCTTGCTCTTGGAATTTGAGTTGTTTTCGAATTAGGAGACAAGGAATTTCCGAAGTCATGGCCTTTTGTTGTCTCTTATATTTATAAAGTTTAACATGTTTTTTTAAGTGTTAGGAATGAAGATGTTTGAGTCATTGATTACTCAATTTCAATTTGATGATCTCTCTTTTGATCAAATGAGGCCTTATAATGGTCGCCGTTGATGAATAAGTAACATGCGGTCATGTTTTTGTAGCCTTCTGATTAAATGCCTTGTGTGGTGTTTTTTTTAGTCAAATTTACAAATAAGCACGGCTTTGCGTAGTTTGAAGTATGTGGATAAGTGATCGTTGTTAGTACGCTAATACTGGAATGTTCTTAGAATAATTAGTCAAATGATCAGATGATTTGTGCCGTTTTATTTTGTCTTAAAATTTCATTCATATTGGGAGGAGAGTGATGTCACGTGTTGGATTCTTTTCGCTTGTGTTTTTCTCATCATAATATGCAATGTGAATTGTTTGGAAAATTTATCTCCCAAGATCGAATGTTGAACTTTCCAATGTTGACGTGCTTTATTACTCCGTCTGGAAACATCGACATGTATATTGTTTTTGCATTTATTCAGGCACTTAGATGTATTACAATTTGATGATTCTTCATCATGCTAGCTTGATAGATTAAAAAGTTTTTGGAAGACATGAATCGAATTTGCTTGGTGGCACTATGTATTCGCTGAGTTCTCTCTCTCTCACACACACAATGGATTATATCCATTACTTTGATTCAACTTACACTCATTTTGTATTTGTTTTATGGTCCACAAGTTGTTGTGAAACCATTACTTTGAAATTGGTCTGTCGAATCTAATAAAATATAAATATGAGTGAATGATAAGAACTTGTTAAAGAAATGCTTCTCTATGAATGATGATCTTTTTCTTCTATGTATCAAATTCTATTTACATAACACATTTGGATGTTTTGACGAGTAACATTTTTAAAAAAATCACATCAAATACATATTTCCACTTACAAAACCATCACATCAAATGCATATTTCCACTTACAAATCATCACATCATATACTCAACTTTTTACTGTTTCCCAAAATTTCCGAAACTCAAAAATATCTATCAAAACGAAACCTAAATCATTTGGAATCTTTGATTGACATAAACCTCTCTCTATATTTTGAAACTTCTTCAATGAACTGAGATGTGATTTAATGCAATAAACCACATGTTGGAAGAGTTACAAAAGTTGTCTGATATGCACAGGTATGGTTACGAATCAGCATATAAAGCACCATTTGGGCATATTGGTTGTTGTACGTAACTGTGTGAAACTCCATTTGGACATACTTTGATCCGTATTGTTAAGCCAGTGTCTGTCATGTTTTATGGGCATGAATCTTTGAACTCTCAAACAATTACTGCATGATTTGGAGGATGATGTTACGTTTTTATGTGTAAAACAATTAAAAAAATCTTATTAATATTGGCTTTCTACTGCATCGACATGTTGAAATTACAGAAAAGGCTTACATTCTTCAGTTCTTTTACTCGTTTTTGTTTATTTTATTTCACATCTTTATTATGTCTAATTTTATGTTGTAAATCTAAAGATTGCATAGGTTCAGCATTCAATGTTAAGGGATCAATGCAATGTCCCAACTGTCGGAAAATCGAGAAAGGACAATGGTTATATTCAAATGGTAGTCGATCATTGGCTGATTTTAGCATGGATGATTGGGCTCATGATGAGGATTTGTATGAGCTAAGTTATTCTGAAATGGTAACTTATCCAAATCTAATACCTAATTTTTGTGGCCTAGATTTGTAATTGTTATTATTATTATTATTTGCATTAATGGAATCGGATCTCATCATCCTAGGTCAAGTGGATTCTCAAGTTCCCGACATAATTAGATGCCTATGTTAATTGTTGTAAGATCGTAAGGTGCATGATTTGCATTTGTCTTTTCCAATGTGGAGCATTTGTTCCAATAAGCCGGCTACCTGATCTCTTAAATGCATACTATGATTGACATAATTTTGTACTGTTTCAACTTTCAATGGCATGTGTTAACCTTCTTTGTTTCTAATCATTATAGAGAATCCATTTACTTCAATATATATCTATATATATTTTTCCCTAGACATGCATTCAAGGACTTCCGAAGTGGTCACCTATCCTAGTACTATTATCGCCCAAACACGCTTAATTTCGAAATTCTGATGGGATGCAGTGTGTTAGGGTGCTATGGGTTGTGTCATTTGGTTGATCACTTAAAAACAAGCAAACAAACACACATGTCATGTTAGAAGAAAGCTAGGCTTCAAAGGAAAAAAATCACCATTAGTGCGTACGAATTCCATTTAAGAAGAACACAACTTCCTGCTATAACTTGGTAGAAATCTTCAGTGCCCCTAGCTCCACGTTTGGCAAGGAATTTTTGTTTCTCCACTTTCTCCCTTGCTTGTGCTGAATTTCTAAAAAATTTAAAGTAGTAATGTAATCCTTTTTAAAAGATCTGGCTTAGGTCACTTTTAAGGTGAGAATGGACAATTTTGGATGATAGGAATGACCGATACCATTGATGGTTCATATTTGATATCGAATCACACTTCCATCAAATTCCTCATTCATTGTAATTTTCCTGGTTTATTATTATTATTATGGCACTATGTAATGGAGTTTACTGGGTGAATTTGCAGTCATTTGGAGTTCATTGGTGTCCCTTCAGTACTGTAACAAGGCTCCCTTCATCATTTGAGTAAGCCATGTATTTTGATGAGTTTATCTTTGAAGAAACTAGATTAAAAAAAAAAAGACTGAATGATTTGATTTTGGAATTCAATATATTCTAAACCCTGTCCATATTTATTTTCAATCTATTTTCCTTGGTATTTTGACATTCATAAGGATTTAATTGCAAACCTAATGGCTGCTGGTGATCTTGTTTAAAAGTAAGACCTTCTGCTCTGCTGTCGTCTGTGTCAAACGGTGTGTTTATGACACATTTTCCTGATTCACTAATAAGTGAAATTTATTTTGAAATTTTAATGTACTAAGATTATATATGTAATCATGGAGCACCAATCTAAGCTACTTAATGTTGACATTGTGAATTTTAGCTTACTCTTTTAGGTTGTTTATCATATAGAAAGATAAAGAGAATGTTTGTCGAGGCATTAAAAATAGACCCTAATTTGATGTTTCAAAAACGAGAATGGTATTTTTGAACCATCCCAATAGTTTTATGGTTTAGTTGATTTACCTCAATATTTGGTGTGTTCGGTACTGAACTCCTTTATTTGAAAATTCCTATTAAATTTTAAATAAGATCTTATCCACCTTCTTTGATCTATGCCGGAAAATCCTCATTTCTACCTAATCGAAAGTCTAATCTATTAGCTTAGCTTAGCATCAATTAGTAATACAATTCTAGAATTCGAGTGGTCCTTTTCATTGTGTAGGAATCAATCATAAATTATGCTAATTATATTCACCTTAGTTTTGATATTTTAATACTCCACATGCGCTGATGGTCGATTCTTTTTAGTTGTGTAAATTATACATATAGTAATGAAATCTCATAAAAAATGGAGAGTTTGTAATTCAACAAACAAAAGTGCCGGTTAGAAATGACGAGAAATTTACAAACTTAAACATTATGGGCGTGTTTGTTTGGAGAACTTCTACAGACTTTTACTATTCACCAGAATCCCAATCATAATGTGTGACCCGACTGTTTTGTATCGTTCTTTATAACCATCTTTTTGTTTTTTTGTATTTTTAACGGTGCCTATGTCCTCCGTTTTTCCTTTCTAATGTTATTTCACTAACGATACCATTCTTGTCCCTACGAATCCGCAGGGAGGGGGAATTTCAATCAAGATCATGTAAGATTTTATACTCATCTAAATTTTATGCACACCGCTCCAAGATTCTGCAATCATACAAAGTATTCATGTTCCACAGATCACAATCTTCTCGGGCATCATGCTGCTGTCTTCGCCGAACACAACCCCGCGTCATCCACAACCCATCCTTGCCCATACATCGCATATTTGGGGCCTGTCGAGCCATCTTCTTCAACCTCTAGCGGGAGCATTCCGGACGGGCCCAGTTTCAATGGTCACTGGAGCGGCCCATCTCTTCCAAGCGAAGTCCCTTTCCCAACTCTGAATTTCAGCTATCATGATTGGGACCATTTGCCGCCTTTCTCTGCAAGCAATCGGACGAGCAATCCAGATCAACTCCCGGCCCCATCCATGACCCACCGCGCAGCTCGAAATGGTTCTGATGTCCCTAGACAAGGAATGCACCCGTTCATCATCAGCCACAGGTTAATACATTCCCCTCTATTTTTACGGCTTAATGTGTATGTATAGCCTCCACTGTCGACACTCTTTGGTTCGTAATTTTTTTTTTCTTTACAGTTCCGGTGGAAGAGCTCCGGGTTCTCTTACTTCATCAATTCTTCCAACTTACCCGAATGCTGTTGCTCCCTCGCGCGACCGTCCCCCTTCTATTCAACCGTATGTTCAGCAACCACCGGGCCCCCCTACGGCGCGGAGCTCTCATACCCCCTCGGGGCGAAGATCCAGCAGCCACATGGGTTTGGCTCAAGTTCCGTCTATGGCCTCTTCATCGGATCAATCCAGTGGCTTTTTCTTCTTCTCACCGAGTTCCTCCAGTCGAACCTACCAAGAAGGCGAGAATCTTCCTGTTCATGACCGCTTCCATGGTTGGGAACGCGAACAACGACAACAGACTGGCTTCCTACAGAGCCAGAGTCAGAGCCAAGCGGATCGCGACTCGATATGGGGGCCTTTCCACCCTCCAACGAGCGGGTTTCGCATGAGGCACGGATCGGAGAGGATGCCGTCGCAAAACCGGTGAGAATTTTATGATGAAAACTTGATGGCTTGGACTGAAAGAAAACTGGTATTATGTATGTATGTATGTTTGAGGTGCATACAATGAATTAAGTTTGCCATTGCACAAAATGGTGGACCTGAATTTGAAGTAATTATTATTGTTATTATTTGCTTGATGAACTTACGCTCTCTCTATCTCTCATGCTCTTTGAGGCAGATAATCAATAATATGCATGTTGGATTTTACTTTTGCCTGGAGTTTTACTCTTATTGGTCTTGGTTGCCTACTATTTGTGGTTCTATACTTTTTTTTTTTTATTGGTCTTGGTTGCCTACTATTTGTAGTTCTATATATATATTTTTTTATTTGTTTTATTTTTTTTTGACATGAAACTTCGCTGTTGCTGCCCGAAAGTATGTACTGGTAAACCCATATGTTGCAGGTGATCTGAAGTATCGGGGGTTTAAACCCATGAACTCAAAGTCACAAATTCAACCTTTACACTCTCTACAAAAAGAGAGATTTTAATATTCTCCACTATTCAATTGAAAACGAAAATATTATAGGGTATATTTCTTTTCAAGAGTTTGAAAAAAAATTAGTTTGAGTTTAATATTAATATAATGTATGATAGAATGTTTTTTTTTAAACAAATAGAGTTCAAATAATAAAAACCTGATGAAAAAGAAACAAACTTTAATTTTATTGTAAGTAAATAAGGAAATACTCTCTGCGTGCATGGGCAAAAAAAAAATATATAAATATTTTAATATAAAAGTAAAATAGATTATACATAAAAGTGTCGAAAAAGAAAATATTGTCTAATAATAACAGACATAAAGACATACTGAGCAACTATTGCACCATTGGAGAATCATTTGATAAAATAACTTCAAAAATATTTAATCAGCAATATTAAACAACAAACAGCACACAATCAAAGTATTCAAAGAAAGTAGCACCAGATGGATTTGAATTGAAGGCATCTGATTCGAATAAGAGTAAGCAACTTACTTTCTAGTATAGTATCATCCAAAGTATCAATCAATCATTCAACCAACTAAGCCAACCATTAATTGCACTATCCGCGGCGAATATGTTTCGGCCCAAACTCACTTGACCTGTTTATGTTAACAAGAGTAATGAGAAATGTAACTTCATATTGAACAGCTATAATATCACAAGAAGATCATCCTGAGTGAGATAGAGCAAAATACCGATGGAGATCTTGACCTGCTCTGGCTCGGGCTGGCGCTCGTCAAGCCCGGTTTTGGATGCTGCATCGTGGAAGTTTATTGAGTATTATAAAGTTCAAGATGTGCATATACAGATATCACAGGGATTGGTTTGACCTCAGTAAAAACAACATGAATATAAGTTACACTTACAGGTGATGCATTTCCAGATCTTGAAGGAGATCTGCCAAGTTTCAACAGAAAAAATTCAGATATGGTGAATCTTTCCATGCAACAATCTAAGGTCCATGTCAATCAAGAGATATGATGACAATATAAGGCGAAATAACAAATGCACATTCAGCTGTGACCTGAATGCTTCAATAACGGAACTCTTAATTGCTTATGAAGCAAAAAGGCACAATAAAAAATAATAACCAGGAGCAGAATTTTCAAAATAGATACCATTCCCCGCATATCAATTAACAAAAATAACAAAATTGCCTGATCAATGCATGGATTTCATCCAACGATGTTACGGCCATGTTAACTTATAGTTTCAGCTTTGCTTTGGCAAAATTCATAAAGAAATAAAAAATAAAATCCCCCTTGAAAGCATCCCATCTATAACTATTTATATCACATTCAACTACTAGCTTCCATTGTAAAATTTACTATGACTAAAACAATCCAAAATCACAACTCCAAAACTCATCTTATATTTCACACTAATATTTTTCTGGTGCAAAAGACCAAATGATTAAGTTGGAACATATACCATCTGTTATGAAGAACATATCCTTTGGAGGAATATGAAAGTCCAGCTTTTATTGTTCCACCAATTTCGTTGCTTACTATTCATCTGTTGATAAAGTTGATTTTAACATTCCCCTAAATCTTGCATGTTAAAATGAAATTTACCATCTTGGCTTTGCTGCAGATGCTCATCAACTAAAACAGCATATGGCCACAATGAAATGAGTCCACATGAGATTTGAGCATCCCAAGCCATCAAGTTCCTAAAATGCAATCCCCAGATCGCCACGAAAAGCCAAATCTAGAAAACAGAAAAGGTTCATTCATAATCATAGCATCATGACCTCAAGCTACATGTCCTTTTCAAGAAATTCATACACACTGACAGGTGCAATTTTTCTAACTTTTCCTATACCTTTTAATCAGTAACATTCATGGAATTGAACTGGGCTTAAAACCTTTTTATATTCTCTTCTTTTATTAAGTAGCTTTATATATTTTCCGCAAACAGGCACATCTTCAGCTTTCCTTGCTTCTGATAATCTTTCGACATACCTAGATACTATCTTGTTTGTATTTCATAGAATACATGCCACCGAATGTACATCATCACAATCATGTGTGTTTACTCAAGAACTACCATCGTCACCCCTGACACTATTAGAGAAACATATAAAGCAAGTCAACAGATAATAGCAATCACAAAATAGCACTACATAAACTTCAGACTTCAGAGAGAGAATCTAAGTGGCATTCCTACAACAAATTGCAGATACTAGACCTTGACACCCGACGGGGAGACTCAGATTGCGATCGTGATGCCACAGACCTAGAACGAGATCTGTTTGAACCAAGGAGAAGCACAGCAAATCATAATTTGATTTAACATACAAATTAAATTCTTTTGATTTCAGGGTAATGTTTGTTTGCATAATACAATGTGTTTTATAAAACAAATAGAAATTACAAAATTTACAATACCTTCTCCCCTTTTCATCAGCAGGGCTGCGAGATGGACTTTTGCTTCTTGAGTGAGGACTCCTACTGCAGCTTCTTGAATAACTGTGTCTCTTGTTATGCTCCTCCACCTAAATTGTACAAATGCATGGTCAAGAACAGTAAGCACTAAGATGCAAGGGAAAACCAAAATCCAAATCCAAACATACCCGTATATATGCCCGAGAATACTGATTACGAAAGAGAGAATCATCAAGCTTTCTTATCTACACAAAAACACAAAAAAGATAACTTTAGTAAAAATATAATGGTCATATTAGATAAATGTAAAAATCATCAAATTGGAAGATATAGAAGTATAGGAAGCCCAGTATATTTAAAAGTTACTGACTGCATGTTTCATGTCATCATAGTTTGTGTAATCAACAATTCCTCGCATGCCTGTATTAAGACAATATACACATCATCAGCCACACAAACATAATGCTAAAAAGCAGGCACACTAGATATTAGACCAGCCAAAATTATCAAAGGCCACTCATTGACAGGAAAAAATTAAAATATCTTACTTCTCCGAAACCTGTCTCTAAAAATGGAAGATAACATGATATCTAAGAAATCATGTTGACATAGGTATTACTATGTTCTGGAAGACAGCCAAGAAGTCAACTCCTATCAAAGGACTCACTATTCTAAATAGCTGGTTTATAATTTTATATTTTTATATATATAGTTCTTTTCCATTTAATAATGATAGATTGAGACTGCTTGCATATTGTTTTTTCTCCATTGCTTACCACCACTGTTGTCATGGCATTGCCATGGCTCCTGCCATGGCATCCTGGCGCTTTTTAGGGAGCGCCAGGACTCCTCGTCTCGCCATATTAAACAAAGTGACTTGGGTCAGCCTTAGCAAGGCAATGGCGATGCCTCAACAACGCCATGGCAATGCCATGGCACTAGGCAGGCTAGCAAAGAGTCTTGTAGATCTCCAGCCTAGCCCCCAAACTGCATCGACCTCAACCCCTAAATCTTGAACCCGATTCAATCTAACTTGTTACCCTCTCTCTCCCCCGCTCTCCTGTACTCTCTCCCGCTCTCCTCTACTCTCTCCTGTTCTAGCCATGGTTGTCCATTGTGTACAACCGCTTCATTCCATGGCTTACAATCGCTCTCCTTTACTCTCTCTTGTTATCTGCTTAGGGGTTATTTTTATTTTTTAAATGCTATTATAGTATTATTATTTAGTGCATTACATTATCTATTATTTATTTCACAGTTACTATTTTTAATTTGTAAATCATCTTTTAATTTTATTTGTTAATTATTTTGTATTTTTTTAACATGTTACTATAAAATTAATTATAAACATTAATTTTATATAAGATATAATATGTACATATAAGTTTTATACACTTATGCCGTGATCCCCATATTGTCGCCATGGCGGGCGCCATGTCGCCATGGCGGTATGGCGACAAAAGGGCGTCATGACAAACTTGCTTACCACGACAACATATATTTAATAGAAGCGGCAAATTTTTGCATATATTGGTTTTCTGATGATGCCTCTAAGAAGGAAAAATTATTTTGCTTAATTTACAAATGATATATATAACACAAGATAAATAAAGGTCGGTCCCAAAAATATAGTAAGATGCACCTAATATGCATTTAAAGAAGTGTTCAATACAGTCAGCAGCAGTTAATGGCTTGCTGCCAATGCACACAATTATTTTTAAGAGTAGAAATTAAGGTCCGGGGCAAAATTAAAATAATGGCCCTTAAAATATATTTTTTTTTATATTAATATAATTATAAAAAATAATTTATAAATACTTTTAAATTTAAACTTAACAATAAAGTTAATTTTGTATATATTAAAAGATCAAAATATTAAGAGTGCTTATTTAGTATTTTTAGTTTGAAGTGGTTTTTTATACTAGATATAAATATGTGGATAATATAAAAAAAATATTATATGATGAGTTATTAAATTATGAGTTGATATAATATATGTTATATATATTGTGTAAATATATAATTATATATTATATTGTTTTGCTAATATTAACCAAAAAACGTGCATTAAATAGTCTAAATGATTTATTTTGTTATGTTTTGTAATATTTTTGTGTAGTTTTAGGGTGTGTTCGGTTGTAAGACTTTTACAAAATCTTACTATACATCCCATTTTTTCCTCCCAAAAACATCAAATCAAACAACTATTTTTCATTTTTTATATTATACTAAAAATAAATTTTACATTCAAAACATCACATCAACACCTATTTACATCACATCATACAACTATCAAATTCAAAATTTTTACTATTCAAATTCCAACTCAAAATCCAAACCCCCAAACAAACACACCCTTAGAAAATTAAGATTGTCTTTGTTTGTGTGGGAGGCTTTTCACTAAAAGAACGCACCCTAAAAAATTTACATAGTAAAAATACTGTATATTCTTAGTATTATATAGTACATGATTTTCTAAAAATATTACAAACAATTAATATATAATATACAACATCAAATATATATAGAATAAAATAGAATGAATCAAAACACAAATAAAAGATCATGTTATCTATAATACATTTACAATTTCTCACATCCCAAAACAAATATACCAAATATTATAAATACTAGATAAATATACTACAAAAAATATAAATAAACACATAATTAGTAAAATTAATTAAAAAATAAATTAATATCAAAATGATTTATTTAAAAACCTAAAATTTGTAATACCCCCTATCAAGTTGAATATGAGAACTTTATTCTCATGTTTAAATAGAAACACATAATGAGGTAATAGACATCCAACCACCTATAACAATAGCTAACCAACCAAGTATAGATACTTGGAAATTACACAGTGAGGAGCAAGAGTTATGGAAGGAGGAGAAAAAGTCACACAAGATTGCTGAAAAAATAAATAACCAGGCAGTCATGAGTGTTCATTTCCGCAGAGTGCAAATGCTTCTTCATTGGCAAGTTTTATGACTATTTGACTAGAAGCTATTTGTATAAACATGTAGGGTGCGTTCGCTTTACAACTTATATCATATTTTCTACTATTCAATATTAACGATTCTTTAAAAGAATATACTATTTTTTCTTATAAAACAGCACATCCAAACTACTATTCAAACAATACACCAAAACCAAAATTAAAAATAAAAAAAATAAGTAATCACCAACTAAACACATCCGTGAAGGGTGAGAAGAATGATCTCTTACCATCACGATCACGATAAACATCAGCAAAGCACACATCGCCAGCTCCCCGCATGTGATCCTATAACCATCAGCAATTAACACATTTCATTAGCATTCACTAAAATAACAATGATATGAAGATGCAAGGACGGAATGATCATATCTTGAATCCACTTCACTCCATTCACAACCACTCAGAAAAAAGATAATTGTTGAAGTACACATGTTTGATGCAAGGGGTTTACTACCTTCAGATCTTGCCAAGAAGCGGAAGAAGGAAGCCCAGTCACCAACACTGCAGTTAAATATTATCATCACACATACCATAGCAATTCATAACTCAAATCAACTAATTCCTTCTTGTCTCTAAATGAATAAAATTTGTAGCTTTTTCTAGGAAACAGTATAAGTTAAAATATATATATATATATATTGTTTACTTGAATACACCCCTTGATATGCATTAACTGCATACAGAATAAAATTTTTAAATAGAACACACTTGATTCCTTGTTTCCATATACACTCAAGAAAAGATTTTCCATTACATTCTTCATTGAAGCCGAACATCAAAAGTAAAACACTTATTTAAAGGTAAGATCTAATAAGGGACAAACACCTTCAGAAAAATGGGGAAAAATAATAAGAAGAATCAAGATCTTTAATTGGACAGGAACATATTAAATATACATACAAGCACTTACCACGATAGTCTGAACGCCTTGAAATTCCACCACGACTACTTCCACTACTGTAACTAGAGTGACGATCATATGAAGATGATCCCCTCCCTCCATGTGCAAGTTCAACCTAAATCAGACAGATAGTGCAAGAAATTTAATGAGAACGGGACAAACTAATTTTATTATACAATACAATGACCATTATCTCACCCTCAGACGACATCCATCGAATTTATAACCATCTCGACCACGAATGGCATCATCAGCATCACGAGGATCTTCAAACTGAATTTCGAGAATTGAAAATAACAAACATTAGACTAAGAACAAAAATAGAAAAACCAAAGGCTGTATTTCAGGTCCTATTTATTCACCCCTCAGAAACATCATACTATAGATATATATATTTCATATATCACACATCATCATGACATCATCCATATGTGTTATTATATGAATCAATAATTATAGACTACTATATAAAGCAATTACAACAAAAAACTAATTAAAGGCCATGAAAGGCACAGCTTTACACCTATGAAAGTTACTTACGTAAAGCAAAATTATTCAGTGGATACATGCTGAGAAGGATATGTTGAAAAGCTATATATGACATACATGCATGTCTGGAGTAAAACAATAGTTTGTCAAAGATGTGAGAATGTTGCTCACCTCAACAAAAGCATAACCGGGGGGCTTCGAAGGAATTTTCAAATCAACACCCACAATCCGTCCATACTGCAGCATAGAACCAGGAAGGGCATTGATGAATGATGATGATGCTGATAATAATAATAATAATATCCATGCATACATTACTAAAACATGACAAACTCATAATTATGAACCTTGATTAAACATTAAAAAATTATTTCAGCAGACTTTGGTTGGCTAAGAGAACAACAATGAATACAAAAAATATTGAGGACATTATTATGCAGTGTCCATCACAGATAAACAGAAGCAAGGTTTCTTAGCTTGAGGCTGTTGGTCTTAACACCACCATGCACCTTATCAAAGTCAAACATTTTTTATATTTTGTCAGAATATCAGAGAGAGCAAGAGAGAGAGACAGCCCTAACTTCTTCTTCCTTTTTTTCTTTTGATCCTTTAAGGGTGTGTTTGTTTGGGGGTTTGGATTTTGAGTTGGGATTTGAATAGTAAAAATTTTGAATTTGAATAGTTATATGATGTGATATAAATAGGGTTTGATGTGATGTTTTGAATGTAAAATTGATTTTTAGTATAATATAAAAAATGAAAAATAGGTGTTTGATTTGATGTTTTTGGGGGAAAAAAATTGGATGAACAGTGGAAATCCACCAAAATCCTTCAAACAAACACACCCTAACTCTCCTGTCATAATTATTTATAGCATGCTTGATAGAAATGCTAGCCCATAAACAATATAGATAATGTATATGTCATATATTACATAATTTTTATTATGCTTTGACGCGGTGCACCATATGTCAAAACAATAGCGCGCCAATAGCAATGTTGAGGAGTGGAGCGGCAGTCCACCGCTATCGCTGCTATGCGATGTCGCATTTACGCAATAGTGGCTGTAGCACCATTTAGAGTTGGTGCAGTGCAGACCGCCGGAAAGTCTATGTTTGTTTTTACATGTAGGACACTAAGACTATGTATTTACAATATATTTTAGTGTTAATCAATCCACTAATTATTTTATCATAAAAGTATCTTTATTAAACAATTGGTTTAAATTGTATAATTTAACATAATATTGATACAAAACATGCTATCTACACTGAGAAGCAAACATTAAAAAAAAAAAAAAGTTATAGCCACTTCTTTTAGTAAAATATAGTATTTGCTTCATGTGGTAAAACTTGGAATGAAAAGGAATACTTTATCTTAATTGTCTAGGTCGACAAGATATAATATAGCTAAGTTTATGTTGCCCAAAATCATCCTAAAAGTAAATCAAAATAATCTTCTCAGTCAGAAAGCATTCCACTAAAAAGGCTCACAAGGATTAATGAATACTGATTCCAGAGAAAATAAGATTTCTTATTCTGTACTTTGCATAGGAAGCAGCAAACTCCTTTAAATACCAAGAGCTAGATTTAGCTAAATACAGATTGCATTAGGTTTGATGAAGCAAAAATAAGTCAAAATAGTATTCCCACTTCGAGGAGTTTAGAAGCTACTGATTGATTCCATTAAGGATGGATGATGGTAAGATTCAACAAATCGAAGAATCCTGAAGAAGACTATACTCCTCTCAATTTATTGTAATGATCTGATCAGATTCTCTCAATTCAATCATATGCGTAGAAACATGGCATGGAAAAATATTATAAAACCTATATCTCATTATACCCATATGGTCAATCATAACAAAATGATGAGGCATAATACATCCTATGAACTGAATCCAGTGATAACTTCTAAATTAAAAAACACATAAAAACAACCCATGAGTTCTAAAGGTTATGAATTCACTCTTTCATAAGCAAGCACTTAATACCGTATAATTTTCCTTCAATGGAAGCATGTTATTGAACTACTTCAATGAACTTTAACTATGTCATAGTAAATGAAACAATTTAAACTATGTATACATATATATCAACATGCCAAGTGCGTTATAAATTGTTTTAAGGTGATGTGACTTGTTGGAAAATGGAAAGGATTACAGGATAAACGATCAGCAGATCTATATGAAGAAAAAACAAAAATGTCTTTGTCGAAACATTGGTGGAAAATATCCGCGCTTAGAAAATCTTGGGAAATTATGTTAAATCCTTTGGCTTTCTGAGCTTTTTAACTATAAACTGTCAGAGAGGTGAAATCCACAAGCCTAGACTGGTTCAAATTAAATGCTTGTTTACATGGTTACCAAAAAAAGCAGCATCAGAAGTGTTAACAACATAACATATATGTTGCATGTTGCATAACGGAATCATAAAAATAAAAAAAATAAAAAAAATGAAGCGAAATATCAAAATCAAACAAATGATAGGACCAAACCTTATAAAACAAATCTTCAACTTCCCTCTCGCGAATGTCACCAGGTAGATTTCCCACATAAATAGTTTTGCTGGTACGGCCCATCCTTGTAAAAGAAAATAAAATCCATACTTAAATTAGCATATATTAATTCCTTCGACCATGGATTCATATACTAAATCAAACTATCCATATCCCTCTCCTTCATTCTTAGTTCACTCATCAAATGGCCACTCAGTTCAAATCTTGTAAGTTGGATCATTAACAAAGTTTAAAGAAAGAACTCTCCTTCTCTATTTCATCTTCATAACTACAATGTTCATACATATTTAACATTATACCATAGCTTGATATTTGTAAACAACAAACATAAAAGAGGAGTTCCTGATCAATACAAAGTACCTCCATCAATGACATCTCCCCCCCCCCCCCCCCCATTTTCAAACAAATTCAACCCATCAAGAAAGTATATAGTTTCTGAATAAGAAGACCTATTTCCATTTATTTCCCCACCGAAACATGTTGAAACGTTCAAAGATAATGTGCCATTTCAACATACTTTTTTTGGGGGGAAGGCTTAAAGCGCTACTGTGCACGAAAACCCTAGAAAGCAGGGGATTCAGATGACCAATTGACTACAAATAACTTAATTTAAACAACAGATATGGAAAATGTCACGAGCCAAACTCAGCCATCCAAGAAAATCAACAGACACTAAAAAGTTTCAAAAACCATCGAACTTGCTCACATTAACAGCGTTCAAAGAATCTGCCTGAACGATAATCAAGAGAGCTTTCCTTCGAGGGATGTACAAGTTAGTTCCAGCGAATTTCAAATAGTGAGACGAGACAATAGCTCTTGGAATGAGGGGGAGAGGGAGGGTTATGTAGCAGGCCGGATGGATGTTCTAGTACTTCCCACTCGGGAACAGTGTTCGCAAAAGTCCGATGGGCCGTATTAATACATCGACTAGAAATGGTTTGGTGGGTAGATATTTTGTTAATTTGGTTGTCGTTTGATATTGATTTATATTTTATTAATTTAAAATAATATTTTATATACTATTTTTTTTTTATTATTGATGAATATTGTTGGTTTTGATTTGAAATTTGGGTGTCTTTGTTTTGTAATTTGATTTGAAAATTTGTTTTGATATAAAATATAAAAAATTATATAAATAATATAAAATTAGTGAATATATTTAATATATTAATTGTTTTTGAAAAATGTGTTAATTTTTTTTTAAAAAAAGAAACAAACCCTACTTTTTGTTATAATATATATATATATACTTAGCTTGTATAGAGAAATAAGAGTACTTAATAGAATTAAAAAAAAATAAAATTGAGTAGAGAATGAGAATTAATTTTGGTAAAACAGAGAATTCAGTTGATAAATATAAAAAAAAAAATTCAATATATGAATGATCAAATAAGAATAAATGATTAACTGGATAAAAAGAAAGTTTTAACGAACGAGAATTCATAAAAAATATTTTTGGTAAATTTTTTTTTAAAAAAAATTATAAATTATATACGATATTTTTTTAAATATATTTTAATATAATTTCTTAAAACATAGTAAAAATTAAATACTTTAAAAATAAATTAAGTTTGTTTTTTTGTAAAATTGAAATAATATAATTTTAAAAAAATTATAAAAATTAAATAGTATAAAAAATTTTAAAAATTAAAAAAAAAAACATATATACAACATCATTTCTCTGTATACGGGAGAAAAATGAAAACATAGAAGTGAAAATAATTTATTTCTCAAGTTCTATTTTTCTGACTCAAACAAACAAGAGAAATGATATAATTTCTATGTACCAAACACAACCTTATAATTCCGACCATTAATAAGTTTCTCAAGCTAATTAAGTTTACTGTTTAACGGAGAGAGTATGAGTATGTTTATTTAGTGAAATTGTTTAAAAATATATATATATTATAAGAGTTGAGAATTATATAAGTAATATAAAAATAATAAGTATACGAAATATATTAATAATTTTTTTGAAAAATGTATTTTTTTTTTAAGTGGCGGAAGACACTTTATATTTTTTTGTATCTCTATTTTATGAAAATATATTAATTATTTTAGTAATATAGTATTAAATTGATATTATTATTTAAATAAAAACAATAATTCTAGGGGAAAAAATCACATTCTATTTACTCATAATAATATTTATTTGAACAACATTTTTTATCTTAAATAATTATAAAATAATATATTGTTTAAATAATATTAAATATAAAATTGTTAGTTTAATAGGTAGTGATTTAATAGGTTATGATTGTTATGATATAAATATATAATATAATAAATAAAATAGTTTATTTAAATTTACATTAAAAAGATAAACTAAAAAATATTATGAATTGTTTTATTTTATTAAATACTTTTTAATTAAAATAAATGCACATAGAAAAAAAATATTTTAATTTAAATTAAAATTATAAAATAAAAAATCTTGTGAATGGTAATGTTTTATTCAAAATTATTTAATTAAAATTATATTTATCTACATTTATATTATTAAATAAACAATATCGCGAATTATTTATTTTTTTAAGTTAAAATAAAAATATTGTATTATTTTGTAAATTTTTTATAATATATGAACATCAGGTGATTTGAACGGTTATAAATTTTGGAGGTAAGTTTTAAGAAAGATGAATATTGCGGTAATGAAAGAACAATATTAGTGGGTAGATGTGTTTTATTAAATTCAAAATAAGAAAAAAAAAATCAAAATATTTGGGGTGTGTTTGTTTGGGGGTTTAGATTTTGAATTGGGATATGAATAGTAAAAATTTTGAATTTGAATAGTTGTATGATGTGATATAAATAGGTGTTGATGTGATGTTTTGAATGTAAAATTGATTTTTAGTATAATATAAAAAATGAAAAATAGGTGTTTGATTTAATATTTTTGGAGAAGAAAAAAAGGGATGAATAGTGGAAATTAAATCCAATCTCCCAAACAAACACACCCACTTGTAACTATATATTTTGTCTGGCCAGATGCATTCTCTCAGCCAAACGTGAATGCAACTAGAGCGGTTAAACGAACCGAGCCGTTCGTAAACTCGGTTCGATTCGGCTCGATTAAAGCTCGTTTGCGAACGTTAACGAGCCGAGTCGAACAATATAAACAGGCTCGTTTGGTTAACGAACGAACCCGAACTTTGTTCATGAACGTTTGCGAACGTTCGTTTAAATAATATATTTATTATAAATATTATATATACATATAAAATTATAATTTATAAATAAACAAAATATTAATTTAAAATATATAAATAAAATAATTTTAAAATTTCTTTATAATTTATATATAAATTAAAAAAAATAAGACAAACAAGTTCGAACGAACTCGAACGAGTTTAATCAAGCCTAAACGAGCCGAATACGAACACGAGCTCAAACAACAAAAATTCGTAACGAGCCGAGCTCGAACACTACGAACAAGCTCGAAAGCTTAACAAACGAACACGGGCCTTGTTCGCGAACATTAACGAACACTTAAAATTTGGCTCGGCTCGACTCGACTCGGCTCGAATCGTTAACAGCTCTAAATGCAACTAGTTTGCAGGGTATTAAGTTCGGTCGGGGTTTATCCAACGCATATTTTCAGATAGCAGTTGTAGATTTCTATATCATAAAATAATAATAATAATAATAAAATCAAAAAGTAAGTTTGGAATGCTAATAATTCACAATCTCCTCAACACAGCTTAGACCAGTAAAGGTCCAATTGCCGTACCTTTTTTTTTTTTTTTTTCACCCAAAATTCCTCTCCCAAAAGCAATGTCTTGAAAAGATGATTTTATTTTATTATTCATTTTATTTTACTTTTCATGCATGCATGATTTTGCTTTTGACATGTAGGTTAGGTTACACGTAATCAACCTAGACATTTGTACTACTATATATATTGTTATTGTTGCTCTAAACCCCAAAGGAATGAAGGCTTGGTTAGAAAAGAGTGACGGGGAAATTAGATAGAGAGGGAGTTGAGAGAAGGAAAACACATATGTGAGTTTTGATTGTAGAAAATAAACAAACAGATCCTTTTGCCAAGGACAAAGTAACATGATTGAATGCACAGAGATGATATAAATTGTTTTTTTTTTTTTTATTGAAAAATAATCAAACCACCTATACTTATTTAAAAACAACCAAAACACTATATAACGTTTCAAAACTACAAAAATGAAATTAATAGGTCAAAAATTGATAATCTATTAATTATTAACTTGCGACTAAAAAAAAAGACCACGCGCAAAATATTCAGATCATGAAGACTTGATCATCTTGCGGCTTGATTATTTCCAACAATCTCTCCTTAATCTTGACGCAACTTACTATTGTCAAATCAATTCATTCTCTGTTCCAGACAACAGTAACGTGAGCTCTTCATTATCCATCGGAGTCAAGTTGGTCTATTTCTCCAAAATAATTAACTTGATTCCTATCTCACACGGCTTGCTCTTGCATTCAGATGTATAGTGTCCTATTTTTTTGCATTTGAAGCATTTAATGTGGTTTTTGTCATGACCATCTCTACTACCTGAGTCTTTGCGCCTTCTTTGTTGTCATCTCTTTTATTGTCTTTACTTCAATTGTGTCAACACCGAACGCAATTCCTTCGAGCACTAAATGAATCTTTCATTATCTTTCTCGCTCATTCTTTTGCAATTCAGTGAGAAGTAACTGACTATCTCTAAAACTAACGTATTTCCGTATTTGCGCACGTTCATCAAAAGCCTTCAAGTGTCCAACAACTTCCTTGAGCATCATACTCCCAAGATCACATAATTGCTCAATTTTTGCAATAACTAGGTAATGTATCAACCAACTTATAGAAAAACGGAAAATAAGGATATATTTTTGGGATTTTGAATTCTTTAGAAGAAAAAAAATTATAGATAAACGGACTTATAGAAAAACAGCAAACACTTACTCGAAGACTGGATAGAGAATCGTAGTATCAAAGTATCAAAGTATCTTTCTTGCTTAGGAACCTAAGTAACTTCTCTTAGACCCACTAAGTCGAAACAAAGACAACTCAAATGAATATGCTAAACCCCTGAGAAGGTTGGAAACAACGAACCAATGAATTTAATCAAAGACCCAATTTGATGGATAAACCAAAGTGCAATGATTCATTCTAAAACACTTACTTTAAGGATAAAACTAATCTTAAAATATATTCAAAGAACGATGATCCCAAATTACATCTAATTTTTCCCTTGTACAGACAAAGAAAAATAAATGCAAAAGTTGGAAACTATTACATTCAGTTTAGGAAATAGGTAAAAATAAATTAATATAATCAACCTATGAAACATGCTAGATTCAATGCATTCACATCTTGAAACTCCAATTTCATTGATGTCATATTGGAAATCCACTTTCATTGATGTTGTTTTTTGGAAATCCACCTTTATTTATATCGTCTTGGAAATCCACCACCATTTATAATTTTTTGGAAATTAAAAAATATTCAATTCCTCTTGAAATCTCCACTTGTCAATATGAAACTCAAGTAACATTAAATAAATTGTTGATTAGATTCCTGTAGTAGGGCTAACAACAATGCACATTCTAGAAGTTCGTCTTGATCTCTGCTTGGTTGGATTAAAATCAGCAAGGGTGAAAAAAGTTTCTATGTTTGTGTTCTGAATTTATTTTATTTGTTCAATTGAATTGTCAAGGCTGAAATTTGATCTTGAAATTTCCATGCTTTGCTCCGAGTTATTAGTCTCTGGAGTAGTTGAGGTGTTTGCATTGGCTTCCTTGAGACGGCCTTGTCATTTCCTCCCTCTTTAAGATTCAAGTCCTTTGTGATGAGATGTACGTCTTCCGTATCAAAAAGAGATAGAGCAACAACATTGAATGTTCCATGAACTTGATACT